ATCCTGGATCTGAGGATTGGTATCTTTCATCAGTTTTGAAATTCTTACCCAGTTTTTGTCTTTGCCTCATTCATTCTGTCTTTTTTTTCTTTGTGGAAATAGGATTATACTTGTTGGACTTGTACGTTCCATTCCCCGTGTCTCTAAATCTTCCTTGTATTTTCCATTTCTTTGTCTCATTATATTGCACTCTATATTGGTAAGTGAGATTCTTGTATTTCAGTGTGGAAATTACTTATATGCTACAGAGACCCAAAAGAGAATAGTAATTCTGATTATAACTTCTAAACAATCTCCTTTTTTGTTTCTGTGTATTTGAAGAAAGTCTGGTACCTTTTCACCATTTATAATATGGTCTGACTTCCAAGCACCCCAATGACGGAATATAGTTTGTTTCATAAATAGGGACTCTAGTGGTACTCTGGTTATTTAAGCTTGCATAGTTAACAGAAATATACTCATTGATGAAAGTCAAATAAGTATGGTTTTTAAATTCAGAAAGCATACCATCTATCATGTATTTGTCCCATTACAAATAATTTATGTTTTTATATAAATCATTTTTTTGAAGTAATTCTATTTTGAATAATGAATTTAGGTAAATGAACTGTAGGTAACTTATAATTTGGACTGGATTAATTATAAATTGATTAATGTATAGACGTACATATTAAACATTATATTAAATATATAATATACAAACATATCTTAAGCATATTCAATATTAAAAACTGATATAAACATATGATAATACATTTTTGGGAAAAAAAACCTTTTGATGAATTTAGTCAGATATCTTAAAAATCTTCATAATTTAAGTAAAGAAAAATTGCTATCTTATATTTCAACAAAATTGACCCATGCACAGCTGAGAACAAATCTGTGAAGATCCTGTGTTTCCTTTTAGATTGTTGAAGGAAACGTGGATGACAATGTTGATAATAAAAATAGTAGTATTAATACCATATTAGCAAACACCTGTAGCACTATGAGGGCTTGTTCTAAGTGCTTTACAAGAGGTAGCTACTATTATTGCTTCTATTTTATAAATAAAGAAACTGAGGCATAGAGATATTAAGTGACTTGTTCAGGGTGACATATCAACTGAGTGGTGGAGTTGAGATTCAAACCCAGTGTGGCTCTAGACCACGAGTGAGTTAAAAGGCCAGATATTTTAAGCTTAACCCATAAGATCTCCGTTGCCACCACTCAGTTCTGTCATTGTGGTGGGAAAGCAGCCAGTCAATATGTAGATAGATGGGTGTGGTTGTGTTCCAATAGTACCTTATTTATTGAGAGTGATATTTGAATTTCATTTAATTTTTACTTGTCATGAAATATTATTCTCCTAATTTTTTTTAACAATTTAAATATGGCTAACAATTCTTACCTCTTGCACTATACAGAAACAGGTGTTCCTTGGGCCCATTTGGCCTGTGTGCAGTAGTTGGCCAGCGAGCTCTAGACTGCTATGTATAGTTTGGGGTCCTACTTTGTTCTATTTTGGACTTATTTACCCTGCACCTTGTAGAGTTCTTTTCCATGAGCATTCAACAACTTAATTTCTAAACATTTAGTTGATCTTTTACACTACTAGTCAAAAGGAAATATAACAGGTATAAAACATGAAGTTTCTACTTCTACATATAATCTAGGTTTTTTTCCCCCCTAGTGATTTCACTATTGCATAGATTCTTTTATTTATTTTTTTTAGCTGAGCCATCCTGCCACCTGTTGGCAGCCCAACGGCAGCTCAGCTCGGGCTGGGCAGCAAACCGCTGTTGCTTAGAACACGCACTCTTGAGCAAGCTCTTAACCAACTGAGCCACTTGGCTGGCCCACCCACATAGATTCTTATTGACTTACCTGAATCTTACCCTAAGGCAGAGCTAGCTAGACCATGTTATTTTGTCTTTATTTATTTTTCACTTATTTTGCATGTGGTTTTTCTCATTTTAATATCATTATTATGGAGTTGGGCCTTATTATTGAGGTAGCTAATAGTGGGGCATGCACAGATCTCTCTTTTGGAAAAAAATGTTGTCTCCCCTCTCATGTTCACATGAAGCAGACATATTTTGCATATTTGTTTGATTCTCTACAAGATCATGTGGGTCTGCATACTCATCTCTAAATTAACTGCCATAGCACATTTTATTTCTACTAATAACCTTTGTACCTCTTTCTTTTTCAATACAATTAGTTGTCTACCCATCAGTCAATACATGATGATGAAATTCCACTCCCTTTTACCTACTGCAAATTTAATGCCCCCATGTTTCAACATGATACATGCCAAGTTCAGTACTACGATAGCACAGAAGACTCGGCCATTTATTTGTCTGGAATGAAGGAAGGAAGTTTTCGGCCAAGTTCCTAGGTGAAATTGTATAAATAGGTCTGAGGAAGCAATAGATCCAACGACCTTAAGAGCGTAGGAATTTTAGGGAATGAGAAATTTGCTGTGATTGGAGAGCATGGAATTGTGGTAAAGGCTATGTGTGTAAGAGCAGTTTAGGATCAGACATAAAGGTTCTTATGTCATGATGAGGCATTTGAATTTTCTGCTCTAGATCAGTGATCTCAAATACGTAAATAGGACAGGAAGGAAATATAAGTAATAAGTAAAGTCAAGCAGGCACTATGTTGGAGAAAAAAGAGAGGCGGTTGGAGACTGGCAAATTGGAAACGGGTTTATGCCCTGTAGCTGGCTGCTCAGCTTATCTACCGTGTAGATACAAGCCCTGTTATAGGGGTTCCTATTTCTCAAGAGCTCAGAGAAATCTAGATTTAATCAGAAACATCACAGATTTTAAATATTCGCAACTGATTAAAATGTTTAAAAATATTTTATCCAAACAAAACAAGTGTGTCAACTGAAGGCCTTTGCTTTAGAAGGTGGAATCCAAATGGCAGTTTGTGAAGTCTGAAAGTGGTCAAATCATTCTGTGTTTTAGGAAGATAACAATGGCAGATATGTGAAATAGCCAAGACTGGAGATAGAAAGGGCCTGTTAGAAGTTCAAAGATGAGATAGATGTGAGTTAATGCTTTGTTAATAGGGATGGGGAAGATTCTGGTGGTACATTAATGGGGCTTTTTTCATACTTACTGATAGTAAAATAATTAATTGCAAAAGGGTTAATGACCAGTAATTCTTCTTTTCATCCTGACCCCTAGTTTCTGTATCCCTTACGTAGAAGCAACTGCTTTTACCAATTTGTTGCACATCCTTCTAGATGGTCTGACAATATGCATTGGTGTACATGTCCCCTCTACTCCCTCCCTCCCTCCCTTCACACAAATAATAATATAATGGATATATTTCTGCATCTTTGCTTAGCAGTATATCTTGGATATTTTCCCTCTATGTATTCATTTAGATGTAAGGATGTTCTCACTAATATTTCTTTTAATATTTGCATTGTATTTCATTGTATGGGTGTATTGTAATTAATTTACCCAGTCCCCTGGGATAGACATTTAGCATGTTTCCATTCTTTTGTCACTATAAACCATCTTTGGATGCATATCCTTATATATACATCTCTGACATTATGTTTGTTTGTTTGAGGATTAAGTCTCTGTAAGTGGAGTTGCTAAATCAAATAGTTTATATATACATTTTAAATTTTGATGACTATTAACATGTTGCCCCTAAAAAAGGTGGTACCATTTATTATCCCTCCAACAAGATATCAGAGCCTATTTCTCCACATCAGAGAGCCATCACAGAATACATCATTTTCATTTTTTAAAATATGAAGGAGAAATGGCATTTCTTCATAAGTAGTCACTATTATGAGTAAAGTAGAACATCTTTTCATATTTGAAAACGAAGTCCACTTGCACATCTTTTCTGTGAAGTAAGTAGTCTCCTTTCCCAGTTTTCTACTGGGTTGTTGACTTTTTAAGAAATTGTATAAGGTTTTCAATTAAGAAAATCAGCAGACTCTTTCTCAGTGTACCATTTTGCTTTTGATTGCTTTCATGCTTTTTGGTCTGCTGATATTTAAAAATTTTAAGGAGTAAAATTTATTAAAAATATCAGTTTATGGAGCATGGTTCCTATGCTATATTTAGAAATGTTTTTGTGATTATTGTGTAATACTTAGGTCTTTTGTATAAATTTCAAAACTGTGTAATGTCAGTTAATGTTTACATTTAAAAACTTTCAATCTTTAGTGATTAATTTTGATTAAAAGCAAAAAGCGTTTATAAAAAATACAACTTTAGGTTTTCCTAGTGATCTTCTACATGAATTAAAATTTAAAGGTTTTGAGTTATTTTTCATTTGTGCTACTTTAGGATTGCTAAGTAATAATATCATTTTATAATTTTCCATGCTCATGAATAGAAAATAAGTCATATTTTTTCCTGTATGAACTCATGAATTATTAATGGCACATGAAATATTTGGTGACAGTATTTTCCAAATTTATTTAAAACTGAGGAATCACAGAATTGGGGCAGTTTGTCATTAGTGGGATAATGAAGGTAAGCCTAGATTTTGAGGATCCATGTATCATTAATTAGATTCATAATTGGTGATATTACTATAACTGTTGACTGAGAGTTTCATGGTAACTCTCTAACTTATATTTTTGTGTCAATTTATCCACCCCTACATCCCTCTGAAAAATACTAGATTTTGAATTTTCTCTGGGGCCCATTGTACTAGGAGACATCCTCACATGTGTAACTGCATTTTTACCACCTAGTATACTGTTGCATTTTTTTGGAAGTGAATTCCGGTAAGCATGAGTAATGTAACTGTTAATTCTGTAGTTCCAGAACTCCAGTGTGTTTCTTTGTATTTTCCTTGAAGACACTTCTATTAACAATTTTACTGAAAGCATAACATGTATCCTAAATGATCAATATATTTCAAAGCCAACTATTTTAAAACTAGATACCTAATATTACATAGCTGTTAACTCTTGAGACTTTTAAATTGGGGCAAAAAAATCAAATGAAAGTTATCATTCACTTATGTTTTAGGAGCTTCTTTGAGTTGCTGCTGTTCTTTGGAAGAGATGAGTTTTATGAAGAGCCCTTAAAGGATATTCTTGGATCATTCCAGGTAAAACAATTTACTGCTTCACATTTTGTCTGCATTTAAAACAGGCCTTTATTCATCCCTAAAAATGGTATATTGATTATTTATTGCTTATAAGTTTTTATATTTACTAAGATGGCAATGCTTAGGATCCTGTTATACTGGCGGAAAGAGAAAATTTCTTAAAATGAACTTTTAGCTTATGTCTAAGCAGTTCCAGTTCTACATTTGGTATCCCAGAGCCTCCTGCCACCACTCTTGTAGATTCCTTAGCACATCCTGGACATATACTCAGTTTTTATTGCTATGGGCTTTGGTTTCAAAACCCCATAGAGAGCTCAGCCATAGTGAAAAAGGACTCTTCTTACCTAGACTAGAATCAGGTTATCAGTCCCATGCCACTTGTTCCCTGGGTTGTATACCCTGATTTTCTCATCTGTTTTCTCAATAGCCTTCCCAAGACAGGAGGCAGATTTTATTTTATTTTATTTATTTATTTATTTATTCATTTTTGCACATTTTATATGAGAGAAGAGAGTAAAAAAGATCCAAAACCTCTCCTGTAGATGGCAAGAACATTTAATCATTTTACCATTTATTTAGGAAGCAATACTTAGTACTGTGGCTCACTAATGTGTCCTTGGCATGATCTCATCAGCATTTGTCTGGGGTGTAATAAAGGAAGATGTGCTTTGAACTCCCCCTCAGGGTAAAGTGTTCAGACAACATCTCTTACATTTACTCCTATGGTGTTTAAAAAGGTTGATGGTCAACCAGTATTGCCGTCCACCTTGGGGGAAGGAGATTGGCAGAGTAACAGAAAAGTCATGCAGTGCTTTCTTTCACCTATAATTTTTATTTCACACTTATTGTAAGCAAGCTTTTAGACTGAATAGATTTTTATGATCAATCACTCTGGTGCATAACAAAATAGGAAAATGATAAGCGAACTTACCTGGCTATAGTTTACCTAAAACTTCTTCACATTCACTGTCTGTTTTTCTATACCATTTGGTCTTCAGTGACATCAAAATTGTTGGTGATGTAGCATTTCCTAAAATAATGACTAAAAGAACTAAAAGCCATTGGTACTTAATTAGCTTTAAAAAGCTTAAGCTGGTGTTTGGTTCTGTTTAGCCAACTTTTGACTCCTGCTTCAGGGGTATTTTTAAATTAGATTAACTGCCCTACACTCATCTCACACCGTTTGGTTCTCAAGAGTTAAAAAATATTCTGCTAGTCTCAGATTTTATTCCGAGTCACCAATATACCCTTTTGCAAGTTTTCATGCTGTCTCTTTGAATGTCTATGCAAGCAGAATAATAACTACTTCATGACCATTAGCAGGATGATGTGGATTCTAAGATATCACTGGATATACAACATATTCTGATTTCAGAGTTGTACAAATATGAAAAAAAAATGCATGTTAGAGTGAGTGAAATTTTGGTACATTATATTGAACATTTTATTTTACCCAGCAAAAGAGGTAAAAATACCTGTTCTCATGGAGTTTACATTTTAATTAGGGCTTACATTCCAGTACTTAAAACTTATTAATTTTCCATTCAATTTTTCCTTTGACACTTCTGTTCTTGGGAATCCACTTTTGAAGTTTCACTCAGCAAAAATTTATTGAGTCCCCATTATGTGCTAGGTACTAAGCCCTGGAACAAACAGTGGTAAAGCAAAAACAAAAACCTTGCTATTGTGGCTTAATCCTGGTATAAAAAACATACAATAAACCAAACTTTTGTAAATTAAGAATATTTTAGAAAGTGACAGGTGACTTAGAGAAAAATGAAGCAGGCCATGAAGATAGGGAGCACTGGCATAGTGGTATTGGGGAGGACATTTCAGTTTTAAATGGGTGGTCAGGCGATGATGCCTCATGGAGATCTCGGCTGAGCACTGACAATGGGAACCACTGAAGTGTCTATAGAGTAGATGAGAGACATCTGTTTTACATTTGTGAAATAACATTTTGAAGGGATATATCCTTCATTTTTTTTTCTTTCTTTGTGAGCAGAGTTTCCATTCAGTTATCAAAATAATCATTTCCTTAAAGGAGAGTTCATGGTTTTTGCACCTTTTTCTATCATCTGTTCAAATTCTTCAGCCCACCTTTTCTCCTTTGTGTTGTGTTTTTAAAAGATTTATCTGCCATTTCTGTTGCTGTGTTTTCTTCCTACTCTGAACTTTCTTGAACCTCTAACTCCTGGCTCCTAGGAGAGATTTCACCTTTTGTTCCCATTTTAGCTTTACCTGGAGTATTGTCCATTTTCTGAACTGAGCTGTTGCTGCTGGTGCTGGTGCTTCTCAGGTCTGTGCCCTTATAGACCTGAGAAGGACCAACATGTAGTCCATGTACATCCCCCCAAAACTTAGCATTTACTAAGTTTTGTGAAATCTCCAGGCTTTTGCCTGATCTTTGATAATCTAATAGCAATCTCATTGTCACCTTTAGAAATTTTTTAAAATTCTATACTAGTAATGCAAACATTTTCCCCAAGTGGTTCCTTTCTGTCCACGTTTCATACAGATTCATACCAGCTTAAGATCGTGCTCTTTCTCCTCTGCTACATACCTGGGGATCTTGTTAACATGCAGAGTTAGCAACGGACTAACATTCTTCGTTGTATTTAAGTTAATTATTCCTTTTGTGTCCACCTCCACCCCCACCCTAATATTCCAACTTTGAGTATCCCAGCTTTGCCACTCACTCTGTCATCTTGTGAAATTTCTGTGTCAGTTTCTTCATTTGTAAAATGGGGACAATATTGTATTTGTTGCATGTGATCATCAGCGTGGCATCTTTCTTAGCAAAATGATCGGGCTTAAGGCTTAAGGAAAGTCTTATAACCTGTATGATGAAGCACGTACTACCTGGGCTCTGAAGCCATACTACCTGGATTTCTGTTTTCACAGTAAGAGCAAAACCCAGCCCTTAATTAAGCTGGCTCTGTTCTTCCATGAATTTCTAATCTGGCAACCAATAGCGGATTAGCTCCAGGGAAAGCCAAATCAATGAAGGAAATGATCTCTAAAAATTAATTTTCAATTCATAGTTATGTGCAGCCATATCTTGTTATCACCTTCAGTTTTCAGTATAAAGGAAAGTTCCTACTAATATAGGACTCATGTAGAACAAACAGGATCCCCACAAAGGAAAAAAATATCATCAGGCTGGCAATGAACTCTTTTTCAACATAACAAATGCCAGAATAAATAGATAATGACTAGTAAATTTTTCAAGAGAAGAAATATTGTTTAATAATACAGCTGCCAAGCCCTATGATTTATGAAAGAAGGCAACAGAAATAAATAGTCCAAATACTTGGAAAACAAACAACTATATGTTGGCATAGTTCTTTATTTGTTAGGAAAACAAATAAGTATGCCAGCTGATTTAGAAATTACCAAAACAAAGAATTTACATATAGAGTTGTTGCAGAATAAAAGAAATAGGACTGATCTGAGGAAACTTAAGTTAAAATTAGTAGATTATTGATAATATGGCTATTATGAAAATTCTATTAATGTCAGAAATGATTTTGGAAAAAGAAAATGCAAGTTTTAAATCAGAGAACACACAACAATCTAGAACTAAAATCTCAGATTATGATACTGATTGGATGAGAGTAAGGAAGATAGAGGAGAATCAAGTATATTCTTGGGCTTCTAAGCTGAAATAACCACACAGCGTGGGCCATTCACTAAGTGGGCTGTGATTGGTTATAGGGGAAAAGCAGGATGTACGAAGAAAGTAAGTTCCATTCTAGATACAGAGTATTAAATATCTTAGGAACATCCAAGTACTAATGCCCAATGATGGTTAGATTCAGATTCATATTTGTACCTTCTTTGTTGTTGTTTTAACCAAGAACATATATTACTTTTATAAATCAAGAGAAAAATAGATGTTATGAAGGTTTTTTTCTTTACAATTTAGAAAAATAAAAGAGACCTTGGTAGTCTGCAGAATGCCACCCAGTAACTTAAAAAGCCTTATGCTAGAGCTTCTGCAAGTGTTTTAATGAGCCTGCCCTGACCTCAGAGAAAACTCTGTCCCTGCCCTTGTGGTCAATGTAAAGTCACAGAGATCTTTTCTGTACAGACTAGAAGTAGGCCTTAGTTAAGCTTTCTTTCCTGGGACTCCACCTAATTTTTTAATCTGCTGGTCTTTCTTTGGGTGAGTGGAGGAAGGAGGTGTGAGGTGGTAGGGGCCATAACCTCCCAAGCAGGAGGAGGCCCAAGGCTATCTTGGTGCAACAACAGCATCATAAGAGAAGAGCATAAAATAATCAAAAGTAAAAGAACCAGCCACAAGAGAGGAGGTTAAATAAATTGTTGTGCCCACCTTGTTTTGCTGGGGTAAGTGTTGATCTCCCCTAATGAGATAGAGTGTATATTCATTGGCATCATAAACCAGCACACCTCCCAGATTTTACTATTTTTAGCTAATATGAAGAAATTTAGAACCACTAAAACCTTCTGGACCATATTCCCTCCGTAGACTTCTTGGAATAAGTTGCCCAAAGACTTAATTTGGCCAAGTCCTAATCTTGGTATTCAAAACCACCTTTGTAGTCCGGGTCTGCAGGCTTTTAAAGAATACAACCATAGCAGCTCAATTGCACGTATTTTGTGAGTAGCAGTTTTAAAATTGCGTTCCCATATTTTCTGCTGTAGTAGAAGTTCTTTTCTTGTCTCTGCCCAACACCATTTTGACTGCATATAGTTTTTCTCCCTTAAACTTTTCCACTGTTATCAAAACACCAATCCCTCAAAATTATTTCTCTGGTTTGATAATCTCTCCAACTACGCTGTCAGGTCTGGTGGGCAGAGACTGACATTTATCCTTATGCCTCCAAAACTTAGTCTTAGTTCCATAGTACTGATGTATTTGCCAACACAAATGAAGGACAAATAACTTCACAGACATTTCTACCTGATGTCTACCATTTCATTTAAAAAAATCCTTTTAGAGATGTGTCATTTTGCTGAGTTCTAAAACACAAGAA